AAAAGTATCACTTGTTAGGCTTGGTGCAGGATTGGGGGCAGGGAGGATGCAGGTACTTTATTGGAAGCACATGTTACAGCATCCTGGCAGTGTTACTATATAATCAAAAAGGCTTCCTGATCATCCTAAAGTATGCAACCAGTGACTGGGAACAAGCTGGTTATACCATTTCCAAGAGCTACTACATGACTCAGAGGGACCTTGTGTCTGCACAATATTCTATAAAGACTACATGTATTTTAAAAGAGATTTGTGTACTTGAGAAGAGGAAACTGCTTAGCAGGACAAGGAATTGGTAAGCAACAGCAATCTTTTTTCTTTCAGTGTTGTTATTGAGTCTAGGACCTTGTGCATGCTAGGCAAATGGTTTACTGAGCTACACCCCAGCCCACAATTGCAAATATTTAACTATCACTATGTTTGTGACCTCTTTGCATATTACATTTAAACCTCACAACCACCTTATAAAGTAGGTACTACAATTACTATATTCTCATTTTACAGGTGTGAAAATGGGATAGACCGCTGCCTGCCTCGTAAGTGGAAGGTCCTGAGTTCGATCCCTGCTACCAAAAAAAAAAGGGACAGAGAGGTTAAATAACTTGGCTAAGATCAGTGTGTTAGCTAGCTTTCAATTCCTGTAACAAAATGCCTAAGATAATCAACTTAAAAGGAGGAAATGTTTATTTTGGCTTATGGTTTCAGACTAGGGTCACTTGGCCCTAACGCTTTGGGCCTATAGGCAGGTCATCACATGCGAGCATGTGGCAGGAAAAGCTGTTTAACTCATGGTGGCTGGAGAGCAAAAAGAGGGACAAGGAGATGATGTCCCAACATCCCCTTCAAGGGCACAGCCCCCAGTGATCTAACTTCCTCCCACTGTACCCCAGCCTCTTTCAATAGCTCCATGGGCTGGGGACCAAGTCTTTAACACATGGACCTTTTCAGGAACATCACATTCAAACTGCAACAGTCATATACCTAGTACCAGGAAGAGCTAAAAGTCCAGGTAGTCTGATTCTAGAACCCACATTGTAACCACTATGCTATGATGATGCTACTCTATGAACCTTCAGGAAATTCATAAAATAGTTATGAGGTTAAAGTGTCACAAGTATCAATATGCTTTGATGGTCTGAAACAAGGCAAACCATGGTGTTTCTAGGTAGTAAATGGGTATGGTGGCCATGTGGTCAATAATCTTATTATTTTTTAACTTTATTACTTCTTCACACTTATCTCCCTGAAATAGAAATTTGGTAGTCATCCTTGAATCATTTCCTCCCACGTAACTCACCAAAGTATCTGCTTACTTATTCCTTTAAAACAGAGATTGAATCTCATCACCTGTCATGTCCCCACAGCATCTGGGATCCAGAGATCAAGCTGTTAGAATTAACCATCGCCACTGCATGAACTGCCTCCTGAACCCAAGAAAGCTGAAGAGAAGCAGAGTAACAGAATACCACTGTGGGAAATGTTCACATCGCCATGGCTGTGTGTCAGCACAACACTGCCCAAAGTAGCAAAGGTAATTACTCTGCCCCTCATTTCTGCATCCTAAATCTTTTCTTTCTGCAAACCTTTACACTTCCCTCTTGGGATGGATAGGAACTGGCTTCCTCTTATTTATTTTTTCTTGTTTCTTTTTTTTTTGTACTGGGGATTGAACTCGGGTCCTTGCACTTGCGAAGCAGGTGGCGGAACCACTGAGCTAAATGTCCGGCCCTTTCTTATATATTTTTGTCTTTGTCTTATCTCACTAACTTTTTAGTTTAGAGAGAGATTATGTGCTTCAATTTTTTTCTATTTCCCAATACTACCTAGAATACTGTCACGTAGTATATAACTACCACTGGGAATAGAAGTTTTCTAGGTAAAAAGCTTGAACCAAACGTGGAGTTTCACCAAAACTATCTCAGTGACACAGCCAAGATGAAACAGATGTGAATGCCAACTAATTTCTACTTAACTGGGCATTTCTCAGTATCTGGGGGCTTTTTTTTGGTACTGGGGATTGAACTCAGGACCTTGCGCTTGCAAGGCAGGTACAGTGCCACTGAGCTAAATCCCTGGCCGTTAATAATAATACATTTTAAGTAATGGACTTGAAAGTAATTACTAGTCCATTTATATTGATTTTTTTTTTTTTTTTTTTATGGTACCAGGGATTGAACTCTGGGTCTTGCGCTTGTGAGGCAGGTGGCAGAACCACTGAGCTAAATCCCTGGCCCTGATTCTTATGTTTTGAAAGTTGATGATTTACACTATGACAAAAATAAATTAAATTCCCCTTAGTCTAATCCTAGAAAGCTATTTCAAGTCATTAAAAACAATTCTCAAATGTTTGCTGTTAAATAAACCTAGTTTTCAGGAAAACATCTGTTCTATTTTTGATTTTTTTTTGGGGGGGTACCAGGGATTGAACTCAGGACTTTGCACTTGCCAAGCAGGTGTGGTGCCACTGAGGTACATCCCTGGCCCCCAATCTGTCCTATTTTTGAAAGGTTCACAAATCTACAAGTTCACTTGCTTTTAAGTCACAGCTGTATATACATGTTATGCAATAAACTGATATACCAAGAGACAAAGATACTTCTGATATTAAATGTCAGATACATTATAAACCAAGATAACTTAATGGCAATGTTTTTATAAACATGGAAATGCTCATGTTTTTTTCTTAATATTTTATTCTATTTAATGGCTTCTATGGTTGTAAATTTCAAGAAATTTTTCTTTCGTATTAGTCATTTCTACTGTCTCCTCAAATTAAAAAATAAAAATCCTGATTTCCCCTCATTAGTTCTATTTCTAAATACAAACAAGAAGGTAATTATAATTAAAAAGTCAAGGTCTTATGGTGTTAATCATTCATGGAAAGTTTTTGTATTTCCCTCCCCCTTCTCTTCCCACTGGAACTTTGTTGTGACTATAGTCTGTGGTTCTAAATCCAAGAATGATTTTAAAAAATAACCTCCAACAGACTGGAAGATGTAAGTATAGAATTTCCTGTAAAAATAAACTTCATTTGTAGTCTTTTTGTAATTAAAAATAAATGAAGATATGAGCCAGAAAGGAGGTTAAGATCTACGAGTATCTTCAGCTTAGAATAACTCCTAAAGTACAGAGAACTTGATTATAAAGCTTCCGCTCTTGCACAGTACAGTAATGCATCCCTTATCTCCCACAATCATGGATTATCTAGCAGGCTGCTAAGACAGATGTTTTAAAAAAGTGTTTCAGTAGTAAGAACAAAGCATTTCATTAGAAAAAGGAGATACCCTAAGTTAGATATTTTAGATACCATAATTATGTCCACTGATGTGTTGTGTACAAAAAAATGTTATAAAATTGATTTAGTGAGTGTGGTTACCTCACCCATCCCCCAATTTTCCATTCTTTCTAAATACTGTAAATCAGCAATCAGAAACAAAAGCTAACAAGGGCTGGGGATTTAGCTCAGTGGTTTCGCCACCTGCCTTGCAAGCGCAAGGACCCAAGTTCGATCTCCGGTACCAGAAAAAAAAAAAAAAAGCTAAGGAGTGCTAGGCACAAACAATTTTAAGAAAAGCCAGGAGTGGGCCGGGGATTTAGCTCAGTGGTTTCATCGCCTGCTGCCAAAGTGCAAGGACCCAAGTTCGATCCCCGGTACAAAAAAAAAAAAGCCAGGAGTAGCACAATTCCTGAAAAATATAGTTCACTGACCATTTATGATGAAAGTCCTAAATAAGTGGTGTAATATATTGTAAGAAAGCACAAGTGTATGATCCATTTAATAGTTTCATCAAATGGCTAACATTAATCCAATGGTAGTTCTTAATGACTTAGGCTTCAGTTACCTGTAATGTTCTCCTTAGGATGTTTTCTTTCCTGGGAATGCCATAAAATGAAGAAACTGATAGGAAACTAAATAGGAAACTGATAGGAAAATAAGAATCCCTAATCTTTAGTGAGAAAGGACAACACAGGCTATGAATTTAATTTCCTGTGAATATATGCATCATAAAGCATCCTGGGGTCTACAACATATCTTCTACTTAACAGTAATGGGCACTAGTTAACTTTGATGCATTGATTTAGTTATATGAAACTTATAAATCTAGTTACATTCAATCTAAAAAAATCTCCCCCCAGTACTAGGGATTGAACCAGGGTGATTCTACCACTGAGCTCCCTCCCAGATCTTTTTATATTTCATTTGAGGTCAGGTTTGCTTTGAGTTTCCGATCTCAAGTAGCTGGGATTATAGGCATGTACCACTATGTCCAGAGCTTTTTTAAAAAATGGTACTGAGGACTGAATGGTTTACACATGCTCTAGTAACATGCTTTACCAATGTGCTACATCCTCACTGAAAATATTCTAGAGTATATTTTTGAAATCTGGATTATTTTGCTAATATCCCCTAATCATGTTAGGGCACACACTGGGAACCTAAGTTTTAAAAAATATATAGAGATTACAATTAAAACAATTTGAGACAAAATGAGTACTTGACAGGATAATAGTATTTTTTTCTTATTTTCTCTGTTCCCATTGTACCACAGAATAATTTTTAAAAATCTTTAATGTTTGCAGTGTTTGTAAAAAGTACAATTCTCTAATGACAAACCTATAAAACATGAAGTTATAAAACCATTCTGAATTTTAATAAGATCTTAACTTTTGATCATTAGCAGTCTTTTTATGTCAACAAAACTTCCATGACCATTTATGTCAAAGGTTAAATAAAAATTTCTATTCCCCAGATTATCAGTCCTTTTATTGTAACACAAACTAATGGGGCTTTTTGGTGACATTTGTTACTATGGTTTCCATTTTATTTCTGCATAGCTTCACTGTAATATCTGTTACTATGGTTTCAATTTTACTTTTGCACACCTGATGTTATCACTAATGTTTTATCTGCTTTCTATCACAGTATTAGAGTGGTGAATCCACTTCAAGAACTGAAGTGTGAAGTACACTTTAATTCCAAAAACACCCACAAACTAAAATGCATAATTTAAAATCTTTATTATTTTACCATCAAAAGTTTTCTTTCCATAGAAGAATGGCAATGTTGGGTCAGTGCATATTCTACGGAAAAGTCTTATCTTAAGTAACTAGCCTAGAAACCAGAGACAGCATTGTAAAGCTAGTTTGCAAGATCAAAGACACAATGCTGCCAATGCAATCAGTATACAGAAAGAATACGCAGGTGTTAGAAAAAAGAATCTATGGCCAAGTGAATAAAAAGTAGCAGTGCACTGCACTGACATTCTAGAGGAACAGAAAACGGAAACTAAAAAAAATAAAACCAGTAGACCAGGCACAAAGAGTTCCAACTGTATCACCAGCTAATTCATGCATACTTGTTCCTTCCTCGTGAAGTCTAGAATATTATTACATGGCAAGGCATTTTCTGCCTAATGTGCAAATGGCACAGCCACATGCAGAAATTTCTGCTTTCCATCTTACAGCCAAAAGAAACAAACTTGGGGCAGTAAACAAAAAACATAAAAACCTGCAGCTTTAGGCATCTTTAGTAAAAAGCTGAACAACTCAGAATTTGTTCCCATTTTCTTGAGAAACTTAAAACAATGAAAGAAAGCTGTCATGAATACTCAGTTTTGACTGAAGGCAAAACAATTTTTATGTAAATACACTGAATAGACACACAAATATCCTTAACAAAATACTGTCAAATCAACTTGAAAATTTTCATAACCAGCTCCTAAAAAAGGTACTGATAATCATGAGATGAAAATGACCATTACATTTTGATCATGCCTGGACACTGGGAATTTTTTGGGCAAGTCTGTGCCTGAAGCTGCTATACAGCTAGATTTGGCTACTCTGCATTAATTCATATGATAAATATCTTTCATAAGGAAATAGCAGATCTATTATTATGGAATCAAACAAATACAGGAAACATGTTTTAAATACTTTAAAGTTACATGATATAACCTAAGAATAAGAACTACCCTTACCATGGTCTAAATCTTAAATTGTTAATGCATGGATTATTTGCAAGACTAACAAGTTACTTGTTAATCATGTCTAGGCCTTACAGGGGAGGGGCACTCAATGCATGGGACAGCAATTATTTCCCAGATGA